AGTAAGGATTCATACCTGGAAAGCCATTTGGGCCTTTTCTGAAGTACCTTAAACAGATCACACAAATAACAGAACTCAAAAGCCACACACAAATTTTTGACTGACAAAGCAAGTATTATAGAGAACTGGAGAGAAAATACACTGGGATAGTAGTGGATTTAAGGGATCATTTGTTACTAAAAGTACACTACACGTAGATGTTTCCTTTGCATCACCCACTTTCTAAAAGAAAAGATGTTTAAAACACACAAAATAGCCCTGATTTTGTTTCTGCCTCTAGAAGCTTTTCCAGCACTTCTTTTTTTTTGTTTGTTTTGTTGATAGAAACAGAAATCACAATAGCAGGTGTGAGCTTTCATCCTCTGAAAAGAGCAGCTAAATTAAATCAGAAAGAGAAAACCCAGAACCCACCAAGAGAATTCTTAGGTTTCCTACAGGGAAAAAAAAAAAAAAAAAAGACATGAAACAGAAGACAATTTGACACAACAATTCTAACTAAATGAAATCTGCTGCAAAACACACCACATAGCCAGTTTTAAAGGACAAAACTCCTTCCCAGGTTACATGAGCCCAAACTTTCCAACCAAGATTTCCAACTCTGAGACAAAGGCAGATCATTCCCTGCAGTCACTGTGTCCTGATCCCTCACCCTGATGTACTTCCAAGCAGTGTCACTGTGGTGATTCTGTGGTGGAGACTTCTCACCATCAGTGTGCAGACACATGTCAGTACCCATTATGTTTAAGCCATGGAATATCTCCCATATCTGCTGTCAGGAGAAGAAATAACCAGGCCAGGACAGGTCAGCACCAGTGGCAAACCTCCATGGTTATAAAATAAAAAGCTGACTTTCTCGTGCTACTTCATGCAGCTGGTTTAAAAATATGTTTGGATGAGATAAGTCAATGCTGGAGCATTATAATCCCCTGGTCTCACACCGTAAAATAATCTTAATGCGAGTAAAATTACCAGCAATGTCAATAATCCATGAATCACCATTCTGAGGACTAGTTCTATGGGATGATTACACTGGGAAAAGCAAAGAAAGAAAGAAAAAAAAGCTGTTATTTTCCAACAGTTTTGAGTCTATAATTCACAGGGAAACATTTTGAGTGCTTCACTGGTAACAAGTTTCCTCCACATCAGACCTGTGAGCATGAAGCAACCCGGGCATGAAGGGATGACAGGTGCCCTAAAACGTGGTGACACCTTCACAGGGAATCACCTCTTGGTCTCTCACATACTTTTATTTTATTTGCTTATTCTGCACATTAAAATACAGTTTTGTATATGCCCATTACTGCAAAGACAAATGAAAGAAGAGACTTAACTGCAAGCGTACAGAAGTTAAATGTTTTTATTCTCGTTCTGGGAAGGGCACAGGACTCCTCTTTGTGGCTTTATACTTGGTATTTAACATTTGCCTTTTTGGCCTTTAGGAAATCCTGTTGTAAATGCAGTTAAAGACACACACAGGGTTCTGCCTCACGCAAGAACTCTAAGAGCAGCAGCAAAAAGCCTGTAATAAATCGCATTGTTACGAGAGAAAGCAACTTCTGCAGATTCTCTCCGTCCTATTAATGCAAGGAAAGCTCAAGTTAACCCTTTCCTCAGCTGTGGAAGTGGGAGGGAAAACAGCTGCAGAATTATTTAACTCTGACCAACTCATTTCAGACGCACAATACAGAAATACACACGAGAATGAGAATTTCTATTAATACCCAGAATTCTAAATAAAGCGGTGCGAAGGTTTCCTAAGAGTTAATTCATTATGCAGGAAGTCGCTTTGCATTACGGAAACGCACCGTCCCATGTAAGACCGACTTTTTTAAAAAAACCTTATTACTATTTAAAGCAAATAATTAATGTAAAAATGAAGAGTTACTCCTCCTGAAAGGATAACCTGGGGGAAGGTGAAGATGGTGGGACGGGCACGAGGTTCCATCCACAGCCCCGAAACGCAGCGAAGTGATGCTGCAGAATGAGGAACAACAGCAACTTTGCAGCTCGCCGAAATTAAAAACCGGAAGGTATTCAAGCGAAAACAATAAAAGCCGGTCCCGGGGTCTAGACCCTACAAGGGCAGCAGCCTCCTCGTGCGACGCCCTCAGAGCGGGGACCCCCGACAGCCTCCCTGGGGCGCTCCCCCGGGTTTACCTGGCGGCTCCCAGGCGCGGGGTTGGCGGGACGGGACGGGACGGGACGAGACGCGACGCGGCTCCTCGTCAGGCCGTGACGGGGCGGCGGCTCCGCGGGGGAACGAGTGGGACGAGCGGGACCCGCGGGCTGCCGGTGCGGACCCGCCGCGCCCTCGCCCGCCGGCACCGCCCTCACGGGGAGGGCGGGACCGCCGTGAGGGGGAGGGGGGGAGCGGTGCCCGCCAATTGGCGCCGGGCGGGCGACGAGACCCCGCCCCCCGGCGGCGGGCGGAGCCAATGGGGCGGCGCGGGGCGCTCCCGCCCGCGGCGCGCGCCGGCCCCGCCTTTGCCGCAGTGCAGCGGCGGCGGCGGCGCCCCCTCGCGGCCCGCGCGCGGCGTCCGGTCGCCCCGGCAACGCCCCGCCCCCGCGCGACGTCACGGTGACGTCACGGGGGCTGTGAGGCGGCCCCGTTTCGGTCCCGACCCAACCGGGGAGGAGGGGCCCACAAATGGCGTCACACGGCCCCTCATGACATAAGCACAGCGCATTAATCAAGCGGGAGCGTGTTAACCGCTCTGCACTGTGCTCACAAACCGAGGCCGAGCAAAGATAAGGAGCCTCAGCTCTAGCTTTTCCCAGGTTTTCAGCTGATCTAAATGTTCGATGCGCTATTAACTATCACAGCAATGACTGAACATCGAACTCAGAGTTAATTACACAGAACAGCCCAACAAACGGGTGTGTTTTAGCAGTTATTCTGCTAAGGTCAGACAGTCCCAAGCCTGTTATTTTGCCCACTGTTGGACTGTTCCCTACCCTATGTCGTCTACTGCATCAAATATTCACAAACATTTTAAAGTTACTTCCCTTGGAAAGCCACCTGTTCCTGCTAAAGATCAGCACAGATTCCCTTTTCCTACACAACAATCCTCCCCAGCCATGCCGTGTAAGTTCTGTTCCTTCTGGGTATTTTTGGAAGAATAACCAATATTAACCATTTACCTTCCAAAAAGCCCACCCCTTAAGTCTGCAGTAACCCAGTGAGAGCAGAGAATACCAAAAAAAAGCACTGAAAAGTTCAGCAAAAAGGATTCCACCAATCCAGAGAAGGGTATGAAACCCAAATTCTCTAAGTCAGCCTGAAAGCTTCCCTTGGGTTTCAGTGAAAGCAGAAAACACTCATTTCATACCATCCCACAGCAATCCACAGAATAAGCTGGAATATTGCTGGACTATGATGACATTCAGTTATTTCATGATGAATGGAAACTTGATGGTGTGTCAGAGAACTGGAACATGTTTTTTTAATTCAAACCCCACACACACATCTTAAATTTTACTCACTTGCTGTTCTGGAGATGTGCTGGATCAGTTAAAATAACTCAAAGGTCCTGGGACTGTCTTTTTGCATTTTTAATTTCTAAAGCAAAAAAACTCTAAAGATACTCTCTGACAACATAAATCCGTGTAGTAAGTCTCAGAGTTTTGTGACTATTGTGAAATTTAGGGAATTTCAGTGGCTCAAAGCAGATAAAGATCCAGGGGTGCTCTGCACTGACATCATGCCTCTGCTACCAGTTAAGCCAGTTATACCAGTGCATTTGCTCCAAGGAGAGATTATCCAGCTGGTTAAAGGCTGTGTTCAGTATGGCCACAGAACCAATTTTCATTTGCAATTTTCATTGCAAACAGGCCAGATTTGTATTTGCTTCGTATTTATCTCAGTAGCAAATTTCACCGAGACAACAAAATAAATCAGAACGACCTTAATATCCCAGATACAGCCCAATTCCACACAAAGAAGAGTTTTATGAAGCTGTGCAAAAGTGGGCAATTTATTAAGTTTTCCCAGACGAACAGAGTATTTTAAATGTATTATTCAGGAACCTTTTGAGCATGTGCATGTTTGTGTTCTGCTTGCACCCAGAGGACCACTCAGAACTGGCACCTGTAGCTCACGGTGTTCGAGCAGAAAGTGGTTGATAAACAGTATCAATAAGACTAAAGGAAGAATAAACTAAAACCTTATATAAACAAATGTTCTGTTCCAGACTTTCAGGTCTGCCACAAGATTATAAGCAGTTCCAAAGAACAACATAAAGCTAACTTAGTATGTGCAGACCTCCAAAAAAAAAAAAAAAAAGAGCTGATTGCCTAATGCAGAAGTTAAGCAATATTTCAACCTCTCTTTTCTGCTTTCCTCTTCCACACACTCCTGGTGCAGCTACACCTGCTCCTTTCAGTCTTCTCCCCTTCCTAAAGTTGGGTAAGTCTTGAGCAGCCTGTCCACCAGCCTTCCTTTTCCACTCAGGGTTCATTTAGGTGGTTTTTTTCTGTGGCCTGACACATGGACAAAAACAGACAATGAATTGTAGGACTCACTTTTTTTTTTTTTTAACCTGATACTACTTTGTGCATTAAAAAGAAGAAAACCAAAACCTTAAAGGACAGTATATACTTTACTTCAGTAAACTTTAATACCCTCCTGCAATCAGTACAATTAATTGGGAGTTAAATAAGTAACTTCATTTCCTTAGAGCCTCTTTTTCCAATGAAAGTAATTGCAAGATTGAAAGGATTAAAATTCCTGTTGAGATTTAACAGATACAATGATGACAGTTAGTGACTGGTAGGCTAAGTCAAACTACTGGAAGGACAAGTCAGTTAAGTTCTGAATAACCCATGTTCCTACTAAAATAACTGTTTTCAATAGTATGACCTGAAAGAGAAATTAAATTCATCTTACTAAAAATCAGTAAGATTTAAACATTCCCACAAACATCCATCATGGCACTGTCTTCATCTTGTTCTGAGCCAGAAAAGAGAAAAACAAAAAAAATCTACTTAAATGGATACTCTACAATAAAAACGTTAGGGGTTTATTTATTAATTTATTTAAAGACCCTTCCTCTGAATGAAATCTTTCACTGACACAAGAGAGGCTGACAGTCCATTAATTAAACCTCATACAGCAAATTAATTCCCTCCAGGGATACACACTGCAAACAGAACTGAACTCTTTCTACTCCTTCCCCCCCTTTTTCCTCTCTAGATTTTACATTTCAGAATTTTTTCTGCTGTTTTCATTGCAACAACAGATAGGATTTCCAAATAGAGATAATTTTCTTCTATGCCCTGGTACATAGGGAAACATCTCAGGACCATGTTCTGTTTTAGGCCTATTAAAACCAGTTCCAAGTTTCTCACTTGCCCTTTAACTACTCTGCACTTGAAAAATCTAAAAATTTAGTATAAATTATTCGAATCACCATCTCCCAATACCTGAGCACAACCACTTAAAATTCTCGCTCTATCAACAACAGGTATTCAGAGATTACTTTAAAAATCCAAGGTTCCAGCATGATATCTGTCTTTTCAGCCACTCTACCTCGTGAAAATTGTGCTCACTTCAGAGTTTTGTTGTGGTGAACAGACTTCTACAAACTCAAGGCCAGCAAATGCAATCAAAATACAAATACTGAAAGCTTTGCTAACACATAATGGGTGTTGAAGATCTCAGTAGGTCAAACTGGAACTACTCAAAGGTATGTTCCCTACTTATACTTTTGAGAACCTTTAAACTAAAAAAGCTATTTTAATGATTAAGACAAACTGGAGTTATTTAATCCATTGATGTGACCTTCAGAAGTCCAACATGTAATACATCCATACTACGAGGAAAAAGGTTTTAATTATCTTTGCTTCATTTAACAAAAAAAAAAAAAAAAAAACCAGAACGGTATTTCAGGACAGAATTCTCAAACACCAATATGAAGAAAATACTAAATACTCTGAACAGTCTGAATATTTTTATGGCTTTTGATAAACTGGAGCCCTCAAATGTTATGGGCAGATGCAAAATTTACCACCTGAAAGGCAGCACAGGGAGTTTGTCCAACTCCAAGACCTTCCTTTGCCGAGATAATTAAGCAAGAAATGTTACTTTTCCTTTGCTGCTCCAATTCCTTTCAACTTCCCCCAAAGCAATGCTTTCCTTCTGCACTGAAAGGCAGGAGAGGTATTTTGACATTCATATAAAACCAATAAAGAGCAGAAATAAGTGGAGATGGGGGTGGTGGACTATGGATGGGCAGCTAACAGGCTACAACACAAAATGGCCAAGTGTGATGCAAAGTTAGTTTACCACAGAAGGGAGGGACAACTAATAAGTGCCTGACTGCAGAACACCCTTTATTCAAATTCCTTTTAATAAACAAAATAGAACTGCTTAGAACTACCTGCGAAGCCTCACTGCTCTTCCCCTGTAAACTCTTGTTTCTCCTCCCTTCCTCACAAATCCCTTTTTTCTAAGAGCTCAACTCTTTATGACAGAGCCCTACTTAAGAAAACCAACTCAAAACTTGTAACCATTCAATTGGGTCTCCTGAATCTCCTGCAGCTCTCCCACCTTCCAGAGGGAAACAATGTGCCATTACTTTTGCACGGCCCTCAGTGTGCAGTTTTGGAGGACACCTCACAGAAATCAATCTTCCCTTTGCACATCCATTGAAGAGGCCTCCTGTCAAGCCAACACTCTAATGGGGACTGAGTGTTAATCCCCCATTTCACCAACAGTTTGTCTCTTTAACAGGGCAGTCCCTATTGTTTTCCTTTGTTTGCTTTGTTGTAAATGCCTCCACTCTCCTTATCTCAAGCTCTCAGGAGTTGCTGCCAGGTGGTTGGACAGAATCACTAATGTACAGCCTCAGATGAGTCAAAAATAAATAGTACAGATTGGAGCAATCACTTCTCCACCCCTTCACCAGTCAGTAGCAGCAATCACTGGTGCCCATCAGTGTTCCACTACAAACCACATTTCCAGCAGTCCCTAAAGTTGCATCAGCAAAGCACAGTTCGGTTGCTTTGTTGATCAAAGTGCATCAGAGTTCCTGTTTCTCTCCACTGCCCACAGCGGAGTCGGATGCAACGGGAACTTTACTACTGCCAGCAAAAACAGTTTCAAAAGCAGCTTCCTGCTCCTCCAAAGTCACAGCAGCAGTGGCTCCTCTACCGGGTGTGCTGGGAAAGGCTGGACGTTGCTCAGGAATCTTTTCCAGGTCCACCGTTCTCCTACCTCTTCTTTTGCCCAGGATTTTGATGTAATTAGCTGGTACAAGTCCTGTTGTTTGGCCATCATAACTGGCCAGGAGCCAACCACGGATTTTGGGTTGTTGTTCTGAAGGAGAAAATGCAAAAGCATCAAGTTGCAAAACGATTCAATGACGCTGAACAAAACTACTCAGAAAGTTTTATCCCAATGCAAATAATAACTTAGTGGGGGAAAAAAAAAAAATCAGTATTTGGTCAAATAAGGTGGTTTTGGTCTTTCAGTTTTAATTTTCAGACTCTAACACTATAACTTCATTATGATTAGAAAATAAACAGAAATAAATAGAAAAACACTTTAGAAAAAATAAAAATTAAAAGTTTACCTTTGGGTGCTAATTTTAGCATGTCACCAGCACGGAAAGAAATTTCTTCTTCTGAGAGAGCATTGAAATCATATTCTGCTCTTCCAACTACGTGGTCATCTTCTCCACTAGCCCAGTTACTGGACACTGTTTGCAAACATACATTAAAAGTTTATCTGCTTTGAATCACAAAGTTTGGCGTGTCTTTTTAAAACAAAATGAAGAAAACACTTTTAACTTCCTTGCTAAAACTTTTCTGGCAGAGAACTGACAGGAGTAACAAGCAAAGCACGACTTGTTGAGTTAATCCAAGCAATATACCCCAAACTGCTACATCTACTAGGAAGGAACCATGATTTTGGAATCACGCACAGCTTAAATACAGTGTTAACTCAACAACAGGCTGTCACTTGTATCACATGCCTAAAATTCAGCATTGTGTCCCAGTATCTACTAACTGCTATTACTGTTGTGTAGATTAATCACCACACAGACAACAGTGAAAGGCACAAGGAACTCTCGTCCTGCAGATCATCTTTACCTGTTTCTTCATCACTGTATGTAGAAAGCAGCTTCCAAATCAGGTAGGGCCCTCCCATTATAACAGCAAAGAACAGGAAAATGGGCCAGGACTTTGCAGAGTTTCCCATCTTGTCTTCAAGGCCGACACGAGCCACTTTGCCCTCACTCTCAGCCCACAAATCCTCGTTCTCAGAGCTGTTCCTCAGCCCCAGCAGCCGCTGCAGCCGTTGGTAGAGGTACCTTATAGTTCTCACCAAAGCAAAAGCCGAAAACACCTTGGTGAAGTGGATTTTGAGGCGGGAGAAGTGGTTGGCCACGTCCAGCACAGCCCTGAAGCTGTTGTAGACAGCTGAGAAGGTGGCATCCATCATCATGCTGACCGAGGCAAAGGCATGCACGATGCTCTCGATGGACTGGAAAGCCCCCCTGCTGCTCTCCTCAGCCTGCTGCACAAACCTGCTGGGGGGAAGGCCATCGGCACAGAACCGGTTATACCCCAGCCCACCGTATCCGTAGCTGTAAGGGCTGTAGCTTCCATAGAAAGAGGTCCCATATGAACCATAGCCTGGAGAGAAAGAACCACTATAAGCTGGCCTGAAGGTGCTCAGACTGCTGCTTCCTGTTTGCTGGGATGGCCTTGGCAAAACGGGTGGAGGTATCCGTGCCACGGCAGGTTGTCCGGGTCTGGTCAGCATGTTGTCACCCAAGTCAGCAGACCTAAAAAAAATTCAAACAAGGAAGATCAGTACCCAAAGTTTAGATTTTTCATTTCCTCAGGGTCCTTGGCTAACTCCACAAATGTCACAGTGAGTTTCAGCAGTGCTGGGATAGGGAAGCTGGGAGCCAAACACTCAGTGTTGTACAGTTGGAAGTTAAAAATCCAGTCAGGAAATACAGGTCTTCCAGGGGAACAAGAACCATAATGAGATACCCAGTGTAAACATGAAACTGGGATGTACACATTGAAAAACTTTGTCTATTTATTAATTTATACATGCATGAAATGCACCTTCCAGATCCACCAAACCTGCTGCTGTAACACCCAGGCCATTCTTCTGCCACACCAAAGCCTCTCGTGGGCCCCACCAAAAATATTTATGAACTTCCCCCCCAAAAAAAAAGCTTTATTTCCAACACTGCAATAGGCCAATGATACAGCAGGAAGAAGTTTGAGAGCTCCTTTGAATCCACCCTTAAAGGGTGGTGTGACCTAATTGAGAATCCAAGTAATTATGCAACAACCTGTGCAAGGGCTTTGGGCCTCCCAGTTTCCCCCTCTACCCAAAGTACCTCATTACCTTTGTGCAGATTATAAAGGGATTGAATCTACTACTGATTATTGATATTGAATTTACTGCTGTTGGCAGAAAAAGGTCTTATGAGTCCATCACTTGTATTTAATTTAGTAAAGTTTTTTACCTTTGTATGCTCAGAAGTTCAAGTTATTTTATCATAATAAGACTCTGCAAGTACTTGACTGACATTTGAATTCTCTCAAGCACCTTTTTGTTCTACTTCTGGAATCAAAGTCGTATATTATCACCTTAAAAGTCAAACATTTTGGTTATTTCCCATGTTTACTGTCTCATCCCATGACTTCCCACTTCTGTAGTCCATTAAATTCACAGGGGAAAAAAAAAGGCAGAAGGAAAAAATGCCAAGTTGGAATTGCTATTTACCCGTTAAAAACGGGAGCAAAACTAAGTCATTATCACAGCAAAGAGAGATACTGTAACTCAGCAAGTCACCCTGCAGTTCCCAGCTCAATAGTCAGCGTGGGACACCTCACTTTAAAGGTGCCTGAAGCCATTAACACGGGGTACATAAACCCAGCAAGAAAAATTAACATTTAACTGCTCGCTCCGCAAACAGAGAGCGCAGCGAAGCGTCTGTGAAATGTTCAGTGCGGGGCCAACCTTTTGCCCAGTTTCAGCTCTAATTGCAAAAGAAAAACAAATCGGATCTTCAGCCACCAGGCGAGCTTTCCTTGCCTCCTGATAAAAAAGGAGCTCACAGACACTTTGCGTTCATCCTTCTCCACGAGCAGGCGGGATTTCCTGGGAGAGCTCCCACACCCCCCAGACTGTCACACACACGGATCTTTTCCAAGCCCTGCGGTGACACTCAGCTCCCGGGGCTGACACAGCCACACAGCCCCCGGGAACGGACACCCTGAACACTCCTGCCCACACCTACGACTTCATCTTCCCCACAGGGGACCCCCCGGAGTCCCCTCACGGAGCGCGACTCCCCGGGCCGCCCGCCCCGACCGACCCCGGCCGGGCCCGACCTTTGAGCCCGCCCCAGGGCCGCGGGCCCGGCCGCCCCGAGCGGGCGAACACCCGTCCCCGCCGCGGCGGGGACCCCCCGGGCAGGGACGCCCGCACTCACTGGAAGGCGGGCGCGGTGCCCGCCAGGCGCCGGGACTCCCAGGGCTTGGGCGGCGGCGTCGCCGCCATCGCGCCCGCTCGGCTCCGCTTCGGGCGCGCTCGGCTCGGCTTCGGCTCCGCTTCGGGCTCGCTCGGCTCCGCTTCGGGCTCGCTCGGTTCCGCTTCGGCCCCACTCGGCCCCTATCGGTAGGCACCGCCCGCCGCCAGGCGTCAGGTGGGAGCGCCGAGCTGTTCGCCCAGCGGCCCCGCGGGCACGACGCCCCGCCGCGCCGGCCGAGCGATGCGCTCTGCAGAGCAGCTGAGCGAGCCTGTGCCGGGCCGCGGAGCGAGCGGTGAGCGAGGGGAGCGGGACGGGGAATGGGATGGGGATGGGAATGGGAATGGTAACGGGAACGGCGTCTCCGGCCTGCGAGGGGGTCGGCCATGTGCTGAGCGGGCCCCGTTTGTCCTCATCCCTCCGTCTCAGCCCGTGCGCGGCGCCTCAGTGGGGGGGTAATGGGATCTCCTCAGCCCTGAGGGGTCGGGGGTCCCGACCTCCCCCAAATCCTGAGGTTTCGGGCTGGAATGGGGGTACTGAGCTGCTCTCCCTCAGATATGCTCTGAAAGTGCTGAGCTCCCTCTCCCAGCCTTGAGATGTTGGGCCAGGCTGGGGGTGCTGAACCTCCCCAAAGATTCCACCTCCTTCCCCCTCCTCCTTGCCCCAAAACATCCCCAATATCACCACATTTGTCCTGATGTGTCAAACAATGCCAATATTTAACTCTCATAAAGGTGAACTGGCAGTTTTACCTAAAAGCCTGTTTGTTCGTGTTTGCTGTTTCTTGCTGAAAGGGGATTTGAAGTTTTCCAGGTAGCCCTTGGGTTTTTACAGCTTTCCATAAGGAATCCAAATCCAGGACAAAAAAAATCGTCGAATTAATAACTCTTCCCATGCTGTAGAGGTTTTTCCACGGCTCCAGTATTTCTGTGCCAGGTGCTTCTGAGCAGGATTGGATATTAAATTTCAAAGAGACACTGGAGGAAGGATCTGTTAAGGTTTCCCAAGAGCCAAACCACACCAGGTCAGAGGGATCCCCCAAACCCAGAAATAATTGGAGACAGGAGCACTTGGCAGAGGAATGTGCCCTGCACACACGGATTTTCCTGTGGCACCTGTTTATTCCTGCTCTGGGTGACAATGGACTAATTGAACCTGTGGTTATTCCTATGTGCTCCTGAAGTTCCCTAGTGAGCAGCTCACTGGGAATCTCTCGTTTTCCATATTTTTCAAAAAATGCTGAGGGTTCTATCCCATTATTACATTTTGGCCTGTTCTAAAGGGTGGAAAAAATGACAGGAAACCAAAGTAGCCATAATATCTTAGGGAGAAAAAAAAGTATTATGAGATTTCTCACAAAAACATGAGTCCTATGTTGGGATGGGAAATAAGAAATCTTTAAAAATTGCAGGGGCCAATGGATAGAAAAGGCTTCCTTTGCCTTTAGGGCTTTTGTGGCAAAAGGGGCTGGCATATGTTGTTTGAGGCTTTTTTCCCCCCTTGTGATTTTAACACACTGATTCTTTAGGCTCTGCGATTTTTGGGAGGAATTTCCATTTTAAATTGGGCTTAAGATGTTTTAGATCCACCCTCCTTCATTCAGTAAAGATTAACATGTCATGTAATGCACTCTATCCAACATAAAACTGGGCAGAAGCTCAGCATTCCCTTGTCAGAACTCTTGAATTCAGGTTTTTCTAGGAAAAACCTTGGAAGTACAGAAGCTTTTCCCCTGGTCAGTGGTGGTTTGGGGTTGGTCTCCCACTTCTCTTGTGCCTGTGATTTAAAACAAACACGTGTCCTAAACTTTCTTTAGAGGACCAAAAAAAATCCAGTTATTTTAAATCCAGTTAAATTGCTGAACTGTGTTTATTCTAAGCTTTATTTTTTTTCCTTTTCTTTTTGGAATTTTAGGATTCCCCAGCATGTCTTCACTAACAGAGAAGGACAGACCAATTGTTCAGCTCTTGCTCAACACTGGCACTTGCCCACGATGTATTTTGAGGTTCTGCTGTGTGGGATCACAGACCCTTTACAGACATCCAGACAAGGTTTGGCCTTTGTATTCCTGGTTAGAATGTGGGAGCACATGGATGCAGTGCCCTTTCCACTACCCTGGAGGAACCAGCTGTGCTCCAAGCAGTTTTGCCTCATTCTTCCTTCAGTAGAATTGGTAGTGGGATGCACCTGAAGAATTGCAGGACACAGGTTAAGGATAAAGCTTCCTTTTTCACTCAGTCAAACACAGTGTCATTACACATCCTTTTTAGCTGACCTTAGTGCTGAAATGCAGTGTTGTTTTAATTTTTCCTGGCTGTGCATAGTCTTTCTTGCCTTCTTTCTTATGCTTGGAACTCCTCGACTTGGTTTTGGCTCTTTGCTTTTTCTCTGTGTTGGTTCTTTGAGACCTGTCTCAGACATCTCCATTTGCTTGCTCTAATCCCTTCTCTTCATGCTGGTGTCTGTCTTGAGCTTTGTTCAAGTTAAGACTCCCCAGAATTCATTTCTAACATTTTTCTTCCCTGTCCTTGTCCATTTTCTATCAGTTATTTGAGGAGTGTTCATTCTGTGTGCCATTTTTTTATTCTTTTGCATCTCTACCTGATTTTCCCGTGAGTTACAACATCACAGTAACTGCTGACTTTCTTACTGAAGACATTTTAATAAATCCTTCTTTCTGAACTGTGTCTTTATCTCTTATCCTTCCAGAAATTCAGAGACAAGCAGGTTCTTCTCCCTCCTCACCAGCACATCCTCTTTAGTTTTGAGTTCTTAGGTTCTTACTCTGTGTATTTAATTTCACCCCCAACCTGTATCTGCTCTTATTTTCTTTTTATGCCATACTAACCAGCTCTCTTCCTGGGCTAATGGAGTTAGAGAAATTAAATTCTAATCTAATCTAAATGAGAAGAAGGCACTAAATGTCTATTTTCATGGAATAGCAATGAGGCAAAAATAAATGTGTTTCTGCAAGACAGGTCTGGAAAACGTTTTCGCTCTTGGATGGTAAATGAGTCTGTTGAGCAACAGTTTCTCTGGAAATTTCTGGTTTTAGAAAAATGCAGCTTGGAGCTGTTTAATTGTGTCTTCAAGATGTCTTTGGGAATAAATTCCAAGTTGTTAATTACATAAACTAAGGCTCAGCTGGAATGCTTAGTACTGCTTTATGGAATTGTGTTTGTTCAAGAGATAAAAACAACAGAATGATTCCTGTGTTTTTGTTAGGATTTGATGAAGGATTTAGAAGACTTCCTGAAAAAGAATCAAGAAGAAGAAGGCACAGTTTGTTTGGAGGTGGTTGACCCACCTTGTAAGAGGATCAGACTTGAAGACACCGAAGAAGGTCCCGAGGATCTGAACCACAACGGAGCCCTCCCGCGGATTCCTTCGGAGAACGACGGGAACGCTGCAGTGGAGAGCTCTGCTGGGAAGGTTTGCAACGTGTGTTTGGGAATCCTTCAGGAGTTCTGCCAGGCTGACTTTGTTAAAAGGGTAAATCCCTGTTCTTAGTCTTTTGGGGTCCTTTTTCTGGAGCTTGTCTATGTCGGGGCCCACAGTGTAGAGCTGATGGTTAAAACCCCATGCAATTTTGGGGTGGTGTTTTTTTTTTTAAAGGTATATTTTCTCTTTCTTTTGAAAGGAAAAAAAAAAAACAAAAGACAAACCAAAACATTTACCTGTTTTGAGTATTTGAAGTGTAGGTGGCACCATCCCACTCCATGCTGCTCCTGGGCAGTGTTTGCACACCTGTAACATCTGTGTTGGCACCAGATTTTGCCCAGGCTTTATCATAGTGTCACTTCTTTAAAAAAAAACAGCAGTGCAGGTGCAATGGAATGACTGCAGGGAGCACACTTCCCTAAGAAAAGGATTAACTCATTCATGGTTACATGAATTTAGGAGATAAACCTGAGGTCCCAAGGAAAACCTCAGTGTGAATAGTGACCTCTCTTCACTTTTTTTATGTGACAGGAAAACGAGGAGTCATCAGCTGCTGTTCTCTTAACTCCATGTTTCTAGTACAGCATGAACCTGTCTTTATGAAGGAATAATATTTAGAGAGCCACAGAGGAAGAAGATGTTTTGGTGATACAACAGATTGTGGGTATAATAGAGGAAATGAGAGTTAGGAGAAACATCACCTCTGAGCACTCAGACTGCTCATGTGACAAACTGAAATATCAGCTGGAAAACTCCCACCTGCATTTGAGATGTTTAACAGGGTTTTAATAGGAAAGAATTTGGTTTAATAGCATGTATGTATCTAAAAATGGGACTAAACAGAAAGCAGAGTATATGGTTTCTGTTGCAGTGCATTATGTTTCTTTTTTGTTGCCATGGGCAGAATATGTATCTTTGTACAGAAACACTTGTTTCTGAGTTACTCCCTTCAGTAGCAAGGGAAGATCTGGCAGAACTTGTTAAGGCACTGCAAAACCTAATTATTTTATGTGTAAAGATGCTGATTTCACCTTGAAAGCTCAGAATTCCTCTCTAACATTCCCCAGAATCACTGACATTTTGGATGACTTCTCCATTTGTGTTGACATCTTTGCCATCAGTTCTCACTGGCCCACTTTAAAATGTTAGATGTGTCTTTGGAATCCTATTTCAAACAGGATTTTTCACAAGGAATTGATGCTGTGGATACCTGTTTGTTCCTGTCTTGTCCCAGGATCTTAGACATTTTTATTGTCCTAGAATTAATTTATCACTGCCATGAAGGAAGATGCTCGGAGTTGGCTATTCTTGTCTTTGGTCACTGTGGTGTAGATTTTTGGACACAGATTTCAATATACAATTGGTCTTGGCTTTCAAATAGTGAATTTGGTTATTTCGTAGCCATAAGGGTACAGTTTATTAGTAACTTTTTTCTTAACAGAACAAAGAAGCTTATATTTCACTGAGTGATTAGTGATTACTCTGGTTTGGATGTTCAGCATCTCTCTGAATGTGTGTTAATGTGGATTAACAGTGACTGAGTAAAAAATATCAACTCAGTGCCATTGCTGTGGTTTAATATTAAACTCCTTCTCTTCCAGGTGTGCCAAAAAGTTAATTCTGCTGACTACCAGTTCACTAGTTTTGTATTTTCTGTGTCACTCCCCCCCCAGCTCTCTGTTAGGGAGGTAAGTAACTTAAATAACTTCAACACATATTAAACAAAGTAACTGTGGAATGTACAAGCTGGAGGTGGTTTGATTTTTAATTGTTACTGTTTAAAAAAAAAACCAAAACCACATGCTGGAAGTGAAATCTGCTCTCCCCTTCCTTGTGGGTGAGTATTGTTTTAATTAACAAAGGGTCTGAGTCACTCTGGTTTCCAGTTAGCCCAGGAGTTATTTTACAGCTGAAATCCTGAAAGGACTTTGTTTAAACCCTCAGTGTATTGTTCCCTTTGGATGCCAGCCCTGTGGATCTTCCAGAGGTGGAACTGCACAGCTGGTGCCTTTCCAGAAATAAATGGTAATTGGTAGTGCAGAATACAACCAGAGGAATTTCAGGATGAACTTTTAAGTGTTCAGCATTTTAAATGATGGGAAAATAAACATTTTAATAATCACCCAGCTTGGGCATTGTTGGAAGTCTAGATTTGTAAATCTGAAGCTGTGAAACTACTGATTTTTATGGCAATTTTAATCAAACTCAAATTGCTTACATTTCATTCATTTAATTACAGTGGATAGTAATAATATGAAAGAGTGTATACCCTGGTAATTTTTTTTAATTGAGGGATAATATTAAGCATAATATAACTTGATCAATAAAGCCCCAATTTTTGCTTAGTTGTCAGATGTTTTTACAACGTTCCCCTGCTTTCTGATATGAAAAGGTGCAAAAATAGTGTTCTAAAAGGCAACATGTAAATTTTTATGATAGATGCTGTGGCAAGATGTGATAGAAGCTTCAGTGGAGGTGGCAGAAAGAAATGTAGATTGTCTTGGATTTATATATAAACTTGTGGTGAGGTCTCTTCTGATCCCACACAGTTTGACTGTTAAATAATTACTACACTTTTAGTGGTGATTTGTGCTCTGAGTTCTGGCATTTTGGGCAAATGCCAGTGTGATAGGAATCATATATTCTGCTCCTAAATCTTCTTGAACATAAGATTCTCTATTTCTCATCTTAAATTGAGCATAATTGTTGTGTTTGCTTGGTCTGCCACCACCTCTGGTAAAATAAGACCAGAGCAAATCGCTTTGTGCTTTCTGGCTGGCTGAACTGCCCTTATTGCCATTTGATCTTGTGCTCATCCAATATGTCCACAAAAAGCACTTTCAGGTAAGGTGAGTGTGTGTATGCACGTGTGTGTGTGCCTGGGGTGCTCTGACTTACCCCAGCTTTGTGCCTGGTGGAAGCTGAGATGTTCAAAAGGCACCTGGTGTTTGCCGGGGAGCCTCGGTAGAGGGTGGTGTTGCACTGCAGTTCAGGTGAGGGATGTTCTCACAACTGTCCTTGTGTTCAAGCAAACCAACAGTCCTGCGGTGCCTGGGACAGCCAAGGGAATAAAAGTTGTGCCGTGGGGCCAGAAATGAAGAGATGGAGTGAAATGAGTGAGTAGGAAGCTCCCAAACCACATCTGTTCTCTTTGGAAGCAGTTCGGGTTCGACTGGGAGAAGGTTTGCATCAGGAAGTTCCTGCTGTCCATTCCATTCCATCCCTTCAATCTTGCCAAGTGCTAAATCAGCTTTTTGTGTGCTCCAGCTGCAGGGGTGGGAGTGGGTGATGGTGGAGGAAGAACTTTGAAAATCATGGAGGTTTATTTACCACCTGTCTGTTCATCACTTTAAAAAAAATATTGTTAAAAAAAATAATTGGTAAAAACAGTCCCTGTTCTACAGTTAGAGAAAAGCAGCAATATGATATGTCCAAATGTCTGAAAATATCAAAATCTAATATCAAAATATCTCTAAATACTCCCTGTTGAAAAGAAGTTGTATGTTAAATCCTGCTTTTAATTCTTGGAACTGCTCTGTGCGAGAACATGTGGAATCTTATCCTAAAAGGACACCCAAAGACAACCTCCCTCCCACTGCCCTTTGTGACACAGAGATTTTCTCCAACGTATTTTTAACCAAAGAAATCAGAAACTGCCTTTTAATGTTACCTCCAACTCATTTAATGATGAGAGTTGTCATCCTGCCAAGGATAAAAATGTACTGGAGGAGCTGAAGAAGAGCGGGACATAAAATTTCCATTTGCACGGTATTTGTATCTGGGATGCACAGGAGCCTCTTTCCACAAGCAGGATATTTGCTTGGAATAAATCATAAATACAGGAGTCCCAAGTTTATGTCAGACAGCTCTATTAGAATATGAAGTGAGTGGTGCCCTTCAGAAGGGTGACTGAGCTCTGTGTGTTGCCTCAGTCCTGATCCATCATCCCGGTGCTCGCTCCAAGGACACGGATGCAAATAACATCTGCAGCCATCGCTCCCTGTAGGACTGGCTGTACCTCATCCTGGAATTCCCCATCTCCGAGCTCTTTTCTAATCGAGTGGAACAATGCTGGGGCTGGGACTGCAACTGTTGCCACCGTGATCCCTCAGCCAGCAGCACGATAATATCCTGCAGCTTGGAATCGATACAGTGCCCGAGCTCCTGGATTTCAGGGATGGGTTTGCTGCTCGGCATTGCCCTGCAGGCTTGAGCTCTGTAATGAGCATTTGGCATTTTCAAACCACTCCACAAACATGAAGTAATTAGGAAGTAGAGGGATCTGATCCCCTGCTTCACGTGCAGCTGGGACAAAGTAGAGAGAGGGGTTTTGGAATTTGGGATCTTTTTGGCCCCTGTGCTCTCAGTACCCTCATCTGTTGTGTCCTCTTAACTGAAGGGGAAAAGCTAATTTCTTTAATTCTCTTTCAACTCGGAAGTCAAGAGAGAGGAGGTGAAATTTTAGCAGAGCTGCTCACAGGCAGAAGTTTTGTCTGTGTTATAGTTGTACCCCTGGAAAAAAATGAAAAGGAGTGAGATGAGCCACCCTATTGAGCACCAAACTTACTCCAAATCAAGGTGTGGCCGAGCCTTTTAAACTGCTGATTTCTAGGCCCTGCTCTGCGGTTGTCAAATTCTCTGGTTCAGAGTTACGTTCAAGGAATTTCGAGTGGAAGCTATTTTTGTTTATGGTTTTATCTGGGTTATTATGCAAACAAGATGACAATATGCTGGGAGTGAATCAGCCTTACTCACCCTGTCTGCAGCTGTGGGATAATGAATCACTGGATTGGAGCAAACACAGTTCCGTCAGTACAACTGCATTTGTGGGTTTGTGTATCATGGACCTAACAGAGTTCATGTCCTCTCTCTGCCATCCCTTTTTTTTTGGGGTCCCTTTACCCTTTTAGATGTACCAAAGGAAGGATAAGAGACTTTTGGGGTTTTTTTTTGATTGAGTTCCTCTCTCAGCATGTAAAAGAGATCTATGGTGTGGTTCCTTCTGTTGTTGCTTCATCATAGGAAGTTTTGAGGGGATTTTTTCTCTTTTTATTAGTTGCTTCTTATTCATTGTTAGTGAACTCGAGTGTTTGTACTAAAAGCTCCCTCTGATTTCTGGAATTATTCCTTCAGTCCCATATTCAGCCTGTCTCCTAAGCTAAGTGGTGTGCTTTAAATAAGTGAGCAACTCTCAGACTTTGTAATTACTGTAAGACCAATTATGCCTTTTATTTTGTCTTTTTTATAATGGATGATAACTGAATTTGGGGGTTTATTAATTTCTATGTTAATCAGTTTTCATGTACAATTTATTTAGACAGTTGCTTTTGCATTTTCTCTGTGTGGTAAATAACTAATTACTTAAGCTAATTATGGTAAACAACTAATTACTTAAGTCTTTTTCTAGAAATGAATTTTTATATTCAGATTTAGATATAAATACATTTAGATTTCTTATCTATATATAGATATATCTCTATATAAATATTTAATTATGTATTATTATATTTTATTGTATATATTTTCTTATGTCTCTATAGTGTATGATTTATTAATTATATAGATGTAAAATTATATCTATATATTAATATAGGTATAAATAGATATAAATGTTTTCTAGATATAATGTTTTTCTACATATAAAGCAAGTTCCAAAGTGTTTGATGAAACCTGATCTTTGTTTTTTTTAAAGCCAGGTAGGATTTGAGGTGAAGAGCAAAGTGATGTCTTACAGATAAAACAAACACCAGTTCCATCTTTCCACTTCTGAAGCAAAAGCTACATTAAATTCTTAATACTTCCCTTTTGTCCTGAGTTTTTAAAACAGTTTTCCTCCTGAAATTGTTGGGAGTTTTGAGCCTTAATTTCACTTGCTTTTATTTCTCTTCTCTCTTCTCCCTGGGTGTGGCTGTGACTCCAGAGGGCTGCTTGGCTGGGGGTGAAGCAGGAGATGAGGTGAGTGGTGGCTTTTGGAGCTCCCATCCCACTTCTACCAGCTCTAGGGAAAAGAGAGCCACTCCTACTGTTTTCCAGTGCAGTAGAAATTAAAAACTCCTTAATGCAGAAAATGCTAACCAAGAAATTAATGTTGTAGTTTCGAGGTCAGGACAGTTGCTTTCACATCAAGGTGCTTCTGCTCACACTTGTGGAATATTAGACTCACTTCCTACGTCCTTGGCCAAGATTTTAATTTACTTTGTACCTTCAAAATTAATCATAAGGAAATTCAGAATGGGGAGGTGCTGTCATTTTATTCATTTTTTAAAATTATTAATTCATTTTTCATCGTCCTTCCTTTTGCTGTCTGACAAGAACTCTTTCTGTAGACACCATTTCTCTTTGTAAATAACGAGCGGCCAAGAAGTTGATTTTATAGTCCTGAAGTGAATTTTATAGTCCCAATTTACCTGGTGCTTACAAAGAATAAGATGGCAGCTGTTTTTAATGTGGTTTTTATATTTTTATGCGGTTTGACCTTAATTGGTGTTTCTGATCTCTTTTGCTCTGTAAGTTCCCAAACGAGTGGTTTGAAATACATCTCTCTTTCTCATCTCTGGATGAGAAGGACTTTTGCAACTACCAAGAAGCTCTGGCATCAGTTTCCTCCTTTTTCACAGGAAAAAAAAAAAAGAATGTTTTACTTGGCACTAGTTACTTAAGTTCCTCTTGAAATATTCTATGTCGTGTATCTGCCTTTGACAGATCCCTGTGCAAGTTATTATTTCTTTGTGATTCAGGAATCTGGGCCTTTCCTTGGAAAAGGATGACATTGTTCAGCTGAAGGAAGCTTATAAGTGGATTATCCACCCCCAGTTGGCGGAAGAGTTGGGTGTTCCTGCTGATGGAAAGGTTTTGTATAAATAAGAAAACACTTTTTTCTCTGTTTTGGGTTTTTTTTTTCATGTATGTCTGTGTATATATATATATATTTATACACTTAACACATATGGAAAAAATAAAAATATATCCTTTTTCCTTATTAATAGAAAATAAAGTTGCATTGCTCTTATAATCACTGTAGGGAGAAGAAGGGGGCAAAATTCTTTTAACCAGAGATCTCCAAGTCAATCCTGAGGGAATACCTGCAATACCCCTAAGCAGGCAGTAGAAATATTTTTCCAAACTGTTTTCAACTTGCAGATTCTGACTTATACTCTTACAATATTTCTGAAATGCATTGACTGAGCATGACACTGAGATCTGCCAGACAAATTCAGAAGCACCAGCATCCTGAATGTTAAAATTTCTGCAACCGTGGCTAAAATTCCTGCTGGGGACAAGGCAGTCTGCAGGTTTTACTTGTCACCAGCCAAAGGGCTGACCCCGGGACTGGACTCTCAGTATTCTTAGTCTTTATGTTGATTTGTCTGCTTGCATAATAATTACAGATTGTCTTTTCCCAGGAGTGCTAATTGAAAGCATCCCTTTTGTCTTAGTGAATCAGAAATCGCTCTGAAGATGATCCAAGAAAAAATAAACTTCTTACCTACCAAGTTGGCAAAAGCTCTCCAACACTTGAGCCCTGAGCCACTGCAGACATCCCTGTGCCATAAAAGTTGCTTTTCCAGCGCTCTTTATCTACGAGGCACTTGAATATTAGCCAATCTTTTCAATAGCCCTCTTGAGGTGTTCTGGTGTCTGAATAACAGAAGTAATGAGTGTTGTTTGCCCAAGGCCAAGGAGGGAATTGGGGGTAGAATTGAGATTACACTGGAGTTCCTGGGCTAGCTGTCAATCCATGAGGACACAGCTGCCTTTCCTTGCCCCAAGGCCATCCAGTCATTGCAAAGGAAGCCCCTGACAAAATTTTACCGTGGTGACCTCAGGGTTTTTATCTTTATTCCACACTCTCCCAGAAGGCTGCTGGAGTTTAGTGACCGTAATAGGCTTGGAGCACAGGCTGCCCCTGACTCAGCCCCCCCGGTGTGAGGGTGTGTGGGTCACTCCTGGCTCTGAAGTGCTCTCAGACAATCTTTGGTGACTTCAGAAATGCAAATGCTACTGTGGCAAACGTTTGAAAGTCTTTAGATGGAGAATAAATGGGTCATTATCTCTTTTCTCTCTCTCTCTTTACTGTTTTCTTTTTTTTGTTTGTTTTTTTTTGCTTGAGAATATCCTCCCTGTTTGTTAAAAAAACCCACCACTATTACCGCCTTCTCTTCTTTATTTTCTTTTTTTTTTTTTTAATTTAGAGTTTGTTTGAAGTCAGCGTGGTCTTTGCTCACCCAGAGACAGACGAGGAGTGCCGTTTCCTGTAAGTTTGATATAAATAACAAAAGATCTTTATCTAAATATTGTGCAACGTTGTTGGTTTGGATTTGTTGCAGATGCAGGTGTTTATAAACTAGGACGGGGCCTGCATCTAAACTTCCTCGTGCCCACAGAAAGTTGCAGAGCTTGAAGTTACATCATCTCTGGTTAATTCAGTGTTCTAATGCCAATAAACAAAGTCATCCAGGATTTTGATTGGAACTGGAAGGAGAACGTTGGGATAAGTTGTCCAGTTCCAGCCCTTTTCAAAGTCATTCCCTGGATCATTTTAAAAAAAACAAATTCAAACCACATGAGGGACTCTTTTGAGGTCATGCTTAGGTTTTCCTGCTCTTGTAGGAGACACAGATGGGAGGGAAGGCTTGGAAATGTGTTAATCCAATTTAGCTGGTTGATTAAAACAAACAGAAGTTTTGGCCTGGCCCTGTGGGGCATCTGCTGTACACAAAGAAGCAAAATATTTCTGTGAATTTAGCTGCCACTTCATCTGATTTCTCAAAATCTGTGGTATATTGTGGATAATTAGGTTCACTCTTCCTGTTTGCTGATGCTTCCTGGAAAACCTCAGTTTCACTCAGTTAACTTGCACCTGCTGCAGTTAAAATCTGAGCAGAGAAAGAGGTTTGGCAGAGATGTCTCCGTTGAACAGCGAATTAATTTCTTGAGACCCGAGATTCCTTTTGCAGCCTTTATATATTTCCCTGATTTTGGGGAGGGGGGTGAGGGAATGCTTGCTTGGAGATGGACCAGGCATTAGGAACAACGATTACCAGTGTTTGCTGAACATCTTTCCTTTCCAGCTTCTTCAACACTGGGCAAAAGAGGGAGAAAATTGCAGCCCCAAACCACAGTTCTAAATAATGGTACCTGCAATCCTGTAAAAACAAGTGTTTCTGGATCCTGCACCCTTTTGTTCTTATTTATTTAGTTTTACTCCATCAGTTCTTGTTCTCTGTAGTGCTCTTCCTTCCTCTGAAACCTCTCCACTCCTATTTCCAGCCCATTCTTCCATCCTTTTTGTGGCATTTCAGAAGGATGGATGTGGAGCACTTTAATGTGCCAGTGCTAGTGCTGTAGAGGTGAGCACTGTAAGGAGGCTCCATTCCACATTCCAATTACTCAGGTTTCTTCCCTGTGACCTGACAATATCCCTCTATTTGCCTTCTCTTTTTAGGACACTTAAACACCAATTAAGGTTTGAGACACTTTCCTGAAGTAACAGCGCATTAATTTAATTACAGAGTCATTTCTGAGGTGTCAAGGCATCCCGCAAATGTGAGAGGCTGGCTCTGGGCATGTTCTGAGGCAGTGCTTTGGTTTTGATGTAAATATGGGAAATTTGGCAATTGTCACGGTAGTAGTGACACTCTTGGGTTTTATGGAAGCAAAGCAGGACTTTGTCTCGACCTGGAGAGACACTCAATCCCACTTTTGGATGGGATTTCCAAGTATGGCACCTGCAGTTCCTCGTGTCTCAAGCTGTTCCCACTCAGCTGTGTGAAGAGTAGGTGAGCTGAAATGACCCTTGGTTGCTCATGGAACATTGAACTGGATCTTGCTGGTTCACATTTGGAGATTTATGTTTAAGGGTAAGGCCATCCTGAAATTTTGGAAGAGGGCATTTGTGTTGCACACCGGCCTGGGAAGCAAGAGCTGCTTCCTCCGAGTCCAAAAGAGTTACAGAGGTTTTGAGAAGCACCAGCAAGAAATGATAAATTGGGTTGTAGGTTAGAAAACATCTCTGGCTTCATACATAGAAATCCAGAAATCCTCCTGCCTGCATACATAGAAATCCATTAATAGGAACAGCAACTTCCTCTGCAGTACCAAGAAAAGTGTTTCCCTGACCTGGCTTTCGCTTTCGTGAAACAACCAAGAGTTTCCTTTTGAAGAGGCAAAACACCAATGGTGTTGAACACCTGGGGTTACTTTTTTGGTGGTACACTGAATTTTCCCATCCAGAAGGGGTGGTTTGAGTCTGGAGTTTGTAGTGGGCATTGTGGAAGAGCAGCGAGCACAGATTTCAAGATCGCAGCAAATCTTGCACAGAACGAAAATATTAATCGTACCCTTTATCGAGAAAGATTGGAAAGGACTGAAAGCTAAACTTGTTGTGTGCTTTTCCACGTGTTTGTGTTGGTCAGGGCAGAAGAGACTTGCACCTTTTCGTCCAGGGATTCTCTCTGGATCAAGCAATGCACATCTTGCACTGTTTGTGGTTTAGGATTAAGTGAATTTTAAACTCTTGGAAGCGAGACCTTGGATATTGGTACAAAACCCATTTCCGTGCTGTGTTTGTGAGTCTGTCTGTTTATTTCTTTTTCTTAAGAGTAGCAGCTAATTTTCATTTCTGCATTTAGAGCCACAACCTGTCCAGACTGTTTCAAACCAGCAAAGAACAAACAGGTAAGATCTCACCTTTTCTGTATTTCTTTTTTGACATCCAGAATTTCACAGCAGTGGCTACAACAAAGAACTTACCTGGGTATTCAGTCAGCGTTTAATGTCTGGTTTCCCTTCATCAGAAATCTCTCTAGTTTTCAGCTGTCTGAAAAATAAAGTTGGCTCCTTTATTCACTTCACATTTCTCACCTTAAGAAAACTGAGAGCTTGGTGCTTTTCTTCAGGTCGCGCATCCTCCAGGCCATAATTTTAGGAATGGTCTCTGTAAATACCTCCCTTAAGAACGAGGAATTTGATTGTCATTGTTAAAAGTAGCATAAAAGATGATCCTCTAGCTCTCTGTGGGTGAAACAGTTCAGATGAGGCACATTGTGAAGATGAGACTCTGCAGCCAAAAGGGAGTTACGTGATCACGCTGCAGTTCCCGTGTCCTCTGATGTGACTGAAAGCCATGAAATGGGCAGGATGGTTTTATCCTTCTGCCTCTGGAGGAGGGGAGGGAAGAAAAGGGACCTTGCCACTTGTTGCAGGCCCTGAGCACACACACAATCATTGATGGAAAAGAGGATATGAGGGATAAAAAACCAGTTGGAGAGAAGCCGATGTAAGTAGGACAGTTGATGTGATCAGAGGGAGAACAAGTGACTTCTATCAGAAGCCATTGCAAGGCCTTTTATTCTTCCTGGAGAAGAGTCTACCAACGTTTGGCAGAGGCAGGAACTGAGCCAGGAATTCTGCTTGCTCTACTCCACCTGAGCAATAAATGCAAGTCTTTTTTTTCAGAAGGGTTGTATTGTTATAACTCACCGCTTGCTGCATTGCTTCCCTTGAAAAAGGGGCAAATCCCACATGAGGAGCCAAACCAGAAGGGCCTGGCTGTTAAAACCACACAGGCAACAAAATGTGGGGGAATCTAAAGCAAAAATGAAGAGCCATGAGAGGTTTGTCCTCACAAAGAAGCTGTGCTTGAAGCTTCAAGGGCTGTGTTAGTCAGAGGAGTGGGGTAAGAACTGGGTTCTGAGGGAAAATTTCTGTGCCATCTGCTCTAGATAGTTATTTAAACCTGCTGCCACTTTAAGGGTTTTCCAGTTCATCTGTTCTATGAGGAAGAGAAGTGCTATTAGCTCTGATTTATGCTTAGAAGGACAAAGAGCAGCTTTCCTGAAGGCACCCAGGAACTCTGTGTTAGAGCAGAGACTTGAATTGTCCCAAACAATGCCCCCCAGTATTTTCAGCTTCTTTCCCCAAATCCCCAGTCCAGTTTGCAGAAAAGACACCCTTAAATTGGAAATCCAGCAGCCAGGGGACTGGGAGGAGAGGCTGAGGAACCTGGACTTCTTCATGTGGAAGGTTCTTCTCTTGGCAAGGAGAAAGCTTTTGGGAGGACCCAAATCAACTTTTGAACTTCGGCACCAGATGCCTCCTCAACAGGCTTATTTGCAGAACTAGCTGCCTGCTGTCACTGAGATAAAAGCTGGGGCTTAACTCTTGAAAAAGAAGGTGATTTAGGTTTCTGGTCATGGATTTAGGATTCTGGTTTTAAACCAGTTTGCAAATTTGGATCTGGGCTCCCAAGTGAAAAAGCTCAACACTGTGTATATTTTAGTGCTTTTTTTTCTCCCTTAGGCATATCCTTTCTCTGTTTTTCTTAGTTCTTGACTCATTTTTTTATTTCACTGTGCAGTCTGTTTTCACCAGAATGGCAGTTATAAAAGCCCTAGAGAAGATAAAAGAAGAGGATTTTCTCAAGTAAGTCTATACTGAAACTAGTTCTTAGTATTGTGCTTCTGTATAGAATTAGGATGAGGAGGAAAATATTCTGTGGGTAAGCAGTGGTAGGGTGTCTATAAAAGAACTTTTGGTTGTTTATATTCTGATGGTTTACTGGTTAAAATGTGTTTTCTGTTCTTCTTTTAATCAAGGATTATTTTGAACCTTAGAGTTTGTAAGATAAGCAAGACTTCTGCCCATATTTCCAAAATGTCAGGAGTTGAGTTTTAATTAAACACCAAGAGCTGTAATATGGTAGAAATCACACACAGTGAGAAGCCATCATGTTTTGGTATTACTAGTAATTTTTTTTTTACTCTTTTTTTTTTTTTTTTTTAATACAGGCATTTTCCATGTCCTCCAAGTTCACCAAAGAACCTGTGTGATGCTCTGGAAATTCAGTGCAATAACGGTGCAGTTTTTGTGGCTGGTAAGGTGATGAATTTATTTGCTGCTGTGTCATCTTGAACAGAACTTTCTAACACTGCCATGAGAACCAGAGATTCTTCTGTTTGTAAATTCCTGTAGTTAAGTGTAAGAGGCAAAGAAACAAATCCAGCTCTATCCAAGAGTGGGTGGGTTTGAAAGGGGAAGGAAATGACAGATCCCCTCTTTATCACCTGCCTGCAGGAGCATCTGCCCTTCTCCCAGGCCTGTGTATAAACAACTTATTTAAACACATGCAAGCAGATTAAAAAAACCCCAACCTGTAATTTAAATCCAACACACTGTGTTTAAAAGGATGATAAAAATCCTGGCTACAGGAAAATGGAAAATGAAAAGAAATGCACAAGTGAGTGGCAGGTTGGTTGATGTTCTACACATACCCCTTTTTTTTTTTTTTAATTACTGATTAGACAGATTTTGGGAATTCAAGATACCCAGTTCCTTTTAGCCTTTTCCAAACACACTGTTTTATTTTAGGTTGCTTTGTTGGATGGTTTTATCAGAATCCATCTGTATGAAGAACAAGAGGGTTTGCTTTCTGCATGTCAGTTAATATTGGCTTTGTGATTTACAGTTTATATCTTGCTACAACAACAACAACAACAACAAATAATCCAGGCAGGATTTTTTTTTAATTTTCAAAGAAATAAATCCAAAATGGGATTTATTGAGCACAGAGCAGTTATTTTGTTATTATTAAATGAGACGGGATCTTAATTAGCAAGCACAGTTTCAGAGTTAGCGTTGCCCTCTTGACCTTCCCTTTGGTGTTCAGTGATCACTCCCCACCTCAACTTAGGGGTTGTTTTTTTTTGAGGATTCAGGAGCTGTCAAACCGAGAAACACCTTCTGTGTGTTTTTTTTTTAAAAAAACCTCCTCTTGTTCAGATCAAGAGTTAAAATTCTTATCTTGTTCTCCTTTTTCCATTTTATGGAAGGAGAATTTAGCAGTGAGAAGCTGCCTGTGAACGGTGAGTCACCTCCTTTCCTTGCCCCAGTGAAACGGTTACTCAGTTTCCCCATTTGTTTGCGTGGCTTTTTCTGCAAGAAGGAAACATCGTTCAAGATAGGAAAATATGATACAACCCCCCCAAAAAACTCGAGGTGTCAGAGGCCCAGTGTAAAGCACAGAGCTGCTCTGAGCTCCTTTGCAAGGTTTCACACGAATGAGGCCCTTGCTTTTGGGAATATTTTTCACTTCTTACCAAACCTGTCCATAAAAAAAGGCTCCTGTTGGCCATCCAAGGCTTGTTCTTTGGTTGTAGCAGCCCTTGTGCCATGGAGGTGCCATGAGATCAGTCCAAGGATGCCAATCTCTTTACCTTCCTGACATTCCTCCTAGTTTATCGTGGGGATTTTCTGCTCCTCACGTGGTTTTCCTTGGGAGCCAAAGCATTTTAGTTTGGATTTGTCTCCTTAAGCCTTCAGAAAGTGGCAGGACTTGGCTTGGAACCTGAACTACTCCATACAGGAGGGTTATCCCTGAAGGTGGGACTGCAGCAACAGGCTCTCCAAGCCCACCTTTAAGTGGGCTGTCCTGGATACTGGAATTCTTCTGGATGCGGCCACAAGCATTCCGTAGTGCTGCTGGAATTCTCTTCCACAAAACGAGTTTGAGCCTGGAAAGTCATTTCCACAAAGCTCCAATGAAGGTTAAATGGGTTAAAAACTTTTGTCCCTTGGTTTAGAGGGATTACAGCTAACTCAGCTCTTTTTTTACAGGAAGGTACAACAAATATTCCAGGAATTTACCTCAGACCCCCTGGATTATTGATGGGGAGAGGAAGCTGGAATCTTCAGTGGAAGAACTAATTTCAGAGCACCTCATGGCCGAATTCAAAGCAGACAGTAAGTATTTAGGAGATCTCTTACCAGACATATTTTTCATCACTGCTAGAAGATTTTTCAGAAGAGTTTTCTCAGCACCCACCCACTTAATCCAAGAGTGTGAGGGGAAAAAAGCTATTATTTCTTTATCCCTCTCTTATCCTTCCAAGTCAAAGCTTGTAAACTTTTTTTTTAGCTGTGATCTGTGAGTAATTAGGTCCTTTTATCCTGCTAAAGTAGCTCCTCAGTTCATCTGATGATGCAAATACGCTGGTTTCATGTATAGCAGGGTTTTTGCCCCACCAACCTTCTGATGGGCTGGTGATTCATAAAATGACTTGTATCAAGGAGGTTTTTTGCCACCAGCATTTTGTAACATCTGCCTGGCTTTCAAGCCCTTCGTGTCTCTTACCTCGATTCATTTCTTTTCTTCAGTGCACATAATGCTTATCCAGGGATTATCCAGATGAAATAATCACTGCCCGTTGCTTGTGGAATTAAAAACAACAGAAAGCCCAAGGAAAAATTGCATTAAATATCAGTTTGGAGAACACCCTCCTGCTTCCCTCTCCTCTCCTCCCAGTGGATGTGTTACTCTGGTTGGAGTATCTCATTCAGGCCAAGGAACTGGGAGTGCTCATCAAAAAACTTGTGAATAGACAGTAATATCCCAGATTTGTCCCTGAAGTGTCTGTAAAGGCAACTCTTGGAAGCAGCTTTTGCAAACAAGTTTAGAAAGACGTTATTTCACCTTTTAAAGCTGTAGAGGGTATGAAAAATGTAAAATAAAAATGTCGCCTGCCTTGTTTAAATCTGTTACAGGCTTTAATTTTTCTTCCTCTGGAAGAGAAGATGTGGATGTGAGGACACTAGGAAATGGTAAGGCTTGGAAAATCCCTTGTGAAACACAGAAACTAAGTGGTTGTGTGAGCTGTTTTAATGGATCTTGCTGAATGCTAAGGCAGGCTTTGAAATTTTATCTCAGAAACATTTTAGTGATATTTATATATTTATTCCCAAAGACCAAACGCCGTCTCAGTGGCCTTGGCTGCGTGGAAAGGCAGAGCTGGTTGAGAGTGTTTGATTTTATTCACTTCCTGCTTTGAAGCCATTTCTGTCAGACTCATTCCTGTCTTGTTTGCTGTTGGATCCTTCTAATTCCCTCACTGTCCCTGTGGAGTAGGGGGAGCCTTATTTTCTTTTTCAGCTTGGGTCCTTTGGAAAGGTCAAGCTGCTTTCCAATATGCTGGAGCTGCTGCAGCCAAAGGAGGAGGGCAAGAAAAAGTAAAAATGAGCAATTCCATGTTTCAGTTGCTGTCTGATTGCTGTGGCTCCTGGCATTGCTTGTGCTGGGGATTGTCCCTGGCCCCGAGCAGAGAGAGAACAACTCTGGCAACAGATGTTGAGCTGAGGGAGCAGGGATTTAACATCCTCTTGCACCTGGGCATTGCTGTAGGTGACAGAAAATAAGCTAATTAACTTTTTTCTTATTTTATTTTTTAATTAGCACAGACTTGTACCAGAAGTCTTCTGGGAAGTCATAATTTGCACTCGCTGCCGAAACTGGGCTTTAGTAGCCAAAAAAAAAAAAGTCCCTCGTTTCTTCTCCTTCCATCTGATGCCACATCCCTAAACCCACAAGTCCTGTCCCTGTTTGTCCTAACAGCAGCCAGGCTTCACACCTCCCAGCCTTCCTGTGTAAATTCCCGTGTTCATTTAGAACACTCATGTTTTTGTGTTTTATGGCTGTGCCTGATGCCAGGAAGGCCCTTTGCAATCGAGCTGGTGAATCCTCGCAGGATCCACTTCACCGCCGAGGAAATGAAGAGGCTGCAGCAGGTAAATCATTTGCACCTCACGGAGCCCGTGGAGCACGTGCTGCCTCTCCAACCCAGCAGCTCTAACTGGTTCCTTTTGAAAATATCACAGGCAATTAATAACTCTTCAGACAAAATCCAGGTTCGAGACCTGCAGCTCGTCACCAGGTCAGTATTTCCCAGCGCTGCCGAGGGGTTTCAGGGCGACACTTTGGGACTTGTGCAAGTGGTCTTGCTCACAGCCTGGGATAATTATGCTTGTGTTAAGTGAGTCACTAGTTTCTCTTGTGCAGGGAGGCAATTGGTCGTATGAAGGAAGGTGAGGAGGAGAAGACAAAGACCTACAGTGCCTTAATATGGACGGACAAAGCGATCCAGAGGGAAGACATCGCGCTCCTGGATGATATCAAGGTATCAGGAGCTCTTGTTGCTGATTTAAATAGTACCTGTTCTGGTGCCCCGGGGAAGAGTTAAATACTCTTAAATACTATAATATCTCTTCCTCTGTGTTTGGTTTTTTTTATCAGGGTTTGTCTTGTTGTAGGGACTTCCATACCACCTTTTTTTTCCTTCACCACAGTCATCCAAGCAGGACAGCTGCCCAACTGTTGGCCAGGCCAACAAACACTTGTGTAATGTTCACCTTCCAGGACACCAAATAATCCAAATTAGTGGGTGGGAGAGGAGGAAACCTGGCACCTGCACCCCTTCCTTTACCTTACACACTGTTTTGTGTAAGCAGAAGTGGCAGAGCTTTTGTTCTGCTCTACAGCCGCTCTCCCGCAGCCACAACAATTCCAAGTTGGAAGTGCCTGTGACAAAGAGTGGTAAGAGGCCTTAGGAAGGCTCAGCACACTCTGGAATGAGAACTTTCTCCAGATGTTGGGCTGATGGAGAAGTGGGTTCAGTTTTTGTTGTGCTGCACCATTTCCTACAGCTCTTCCCTGTGAACTCCAAGCAAGTGCTCACAGCTCAGGGAGACAACTGTTGTCTTTTCCTGGAGCTTCCCTCAATCCTGAAAAGTTGCCTTTCAAACTGCTGCATCTCCTTTGGGAAGGGAGTGGGGAATGAACTTCTGAAAAGACTGTTCTGAGATCTAATCTCATTTCAGGGGCTTTTTTTCCCTCACTTTTATTTCTAGGGGGTTGGCTGTAGTTTAGACAAAGCATTTTGTGGGTGGGATTTTTTTTTTTTCCCTGATTTGCCCTGAGGCTCTCGGCGAGCTGCTAAATCCTGGAGTCATTCCAGCAAAGGGCTATGGAGATTTCAAGGTTATTCCTCTGTATTTGTGATTCCATTAGTTTGTGTTCGCGCGAGGCCTCGGAGGTGGCTGTCCTTTCTCCTTCGATAAACTTGGAAAAAATGAGTCCTGTCTCAAGCTTACTCAAAAAGATGGGATTGGTTCACAACACTTGTGACTCTCCTACAGGCTGTTCAGTGTGTTACATTTCACTCTCTCTTGTGGCAGGAATTAAAACTGGACCAGAAGACCCCTCTCCGTGTTCTGCACCGGCGGCCCCTGGCCGTGCGCTGCCGGATCATCCACACCATGAGCTCCGAGTACATCGACGAGCACCATTTCCGCCTGCACCTCAAGACTCAGGCAGGGACGTATCCTTGGCTGCCCTGGCACCAAACAGCTCCTGATTGGAGTCACTTGGCTGCCCTGGCACCAAACAGCTCCTGACTGGAGTCACTGGGATCACGGGAAGTTCCCTGCTCGGATCCCTGCGGTGTTTTGGAATCCCTGCTCTCCAGCAGTCGTGTGTTGCTGCAGGATCTTTGCTTTTATACGGCACAATTCCACACCGAGGTTTTCATTCCAAAATGGCTCCTGTGTGTGTGGAGTTCTGTGTTGACCACTCACAGAATTACAGAGTATTCTGCGTTGGAAGGGACCCACAGGGACCATCGAGTCCAATACCCTGATAGTTTAAATGCATGTGACAGCCATAAAAATGTCCTGGTTAAAAATACACTTTCTTAATTTAACTGATAACTTCTCACCTTGGAAAATCAGCTTTTCTGCAATATTGAATGCACTTCAATGCAGACTGTGGGTTGCTGCTACTTAAAAGTTAAGAGTTTTGTCATAAAGTCACCCCTCACCTTGGAATAAATCAGAAAATAAAGGTCAGTGGTGCAGTTTTTGGCACTAGAGGCAGAAGCCAGGAATTAGGAGTTCTTTTAAAGCTTAACAAGATGTTAACTAAAAACTGGCTTAAGAGTAAAAAAAACACCTTTTTTCCCCCCCTTTTGCTTTCTTTGCTGTAAAATCCACCTCTCCTTAGCCAGTGTTTCCAGCTACATTAAAGAATTTGTGCATGGAGACTTTGGAAGAACAAAGCCCAATATTGGGTCCCTCCTGAACAGAACTGCTGACATTCTGGAGCTGGATGTGGAAGTAAGTTGTTTGCTATTTATCCTTCCTGGAAATTACTAAGGGAGTGGAATTTTTGAGGTGCTTTCCATGGAATTGCTCCAAGTGGATCAACATTCCTTAGCACAGTTAATAGAAAAATTAATATTAATACAAGACCAGTGGTTTGTCCCACACTGCCACACGTGCCGGGCTTCCTCTTCCAAATTTGTGTCAGGGAGGGGTGGGAGGACACATCATGAATTTATAACACTAGTTATCAGCTTATCCTTGCTTAGATTTGGGGACAGGTGATGGTGGTTTTCTACTCAAGCACCACCCAATACCTGAATATTTCTGTGCCATCCATCCACTCGTGGTTTGTTTTCACACCGTGATGGCCCAGCTGCAGGATGGGGAGAAGCTGGAGACAGTTCACGTTCCTAACAAACGGTTCTGGGCACTTTGGAAACGCAGCCCAACATCCAGGGATGCTGCAGAAGGAGTTGTGACTCTTTTGATATGTGTAAAATATCAGCTCTGGTGATTTTGCCTTTTTTTCCCTCCCCTTTCCTAGTCTGTTGACGTCGACTGGCCTCCGACCCTGGATAACTGACTTCCCAAGGGATGAGGAAGCAGCAGCTCATGACCAAACACTGTGCAGTGTTTCAGCCTGGGTGCAAAGGGTTTCCATGGAACACTTGGATCATGTTGATCTGCCAAAGGATACCCTGACTTTGAATCTACTTTGAACACTCTGGACCAGGTAGTGTTGGTTCAGTCTCTGGCCTTACTTTAATTTCTTCCGTGCATAAAAAGATTTTGGGAAGCCAGTGCATTCCTGATAAATTATAGTTAAAGATAACCCTCCCTCAAGTCAGATTTCTTTTGAAACTCTTTTTATATTGGATGCTCTCCTTATCTGGATGCAGGTAGCACCGGGTTACCTGAAATCCCAACTCTTTCTGAGCACTGTTCCTGCAGGAAATCCCAAAAGCCAGGGAGACTGAAGCCAGCAGGACAGTGCTGGAGCAAGTCTCCCTGCTGGCTGCTTTTTGGTCAGGGTTAGTTTTAGAGATGGGCAAATTTATCTCACAAAGGGCGAAAACATTTTTCAGAGGAAACCTTTGCACTTAAAACCAAGTTTTTCTAATTTAAAAACATGGGCGACACTTCCTAGAAACAACAGCTGGGGCCTCGTGAGCCCTCCAGCCTGGCCACAGTCCTCTCCAGGAGCAGGAATTCCCCAGTGAGTCACCATATATAAAAAGATTGGGAACTCCTGGCAGTGGTGCATGATGGGGATCTAAAGAAAAACAGGAATACCAAAGAATCTCAAAGTGCAGGCAGACACAAAACCTACCTGAGGATGTTGGAATCCAGAGACAGGGATTAAAAAGCTTTGATTTAGCAGCATAATACAATTTTTCTAACACCCTCACCTTGGATGGATGCCTGGAAGACTTAAACTTGCCTGGGATAGGGAAGATCTGAGGTTTGTAATTTGCTTATTTTAAATGTTTCCTACTAAGCACCACCTACATCTTTAGGAAGAGTCACTTTTACACCTGCATCATGTTAATCCATTAGGGAAGATGCTTCCCTGAAGTACAGAAGAGAGTTAAACTATCAGCAAGAAATTAAGGATTGGAATTTAAGGGCTCTTCATTAATTAACATTTTGGAAATAAAGAGCATAATATTTGCCAAGACCAACCACTGTTTGGGGACAGGGAGAATGGCTGGGATGTCTTCCCTTTAATTCAGTGGTGCCAGGACCTCAGACCAGAACAGCTGCATGAGAACTTGAGCTGGAGGCTCTATAACTGTTCATAAATACATTTTTAAGGAGCTCCTAAAAAAATCATCTTGAAAAATTCTGCGCTGCCTGTGCTGTGCTTTCCTAGCCCTCTGCAACACGAGTAATTCAGAAGCTCCTGTTTTTCTAACACAAAAATAATAGGAGCATGATTCAGACAGCAATATTATTTTTGGTTTTAATCTTATAGCCAATATGAGCAACAGATTCCAGGAGTAGTTCTCAGATAATAGTCTGTAGCCAGACAGGAAGTGTCATGAATGATGGAAAACTAAAGAATTCAGGAAAGAAACAAAAAGAGAATTTCAGTCTCACAACTGTGATTTCTTGAAACTCAGAGTGAGCTGAAATATGATTTATAAATTCCATAAACTACAGGGAACAAAAAATGTAAACAAGGCTGTGCATTTTGGCACAACAGGCATGAGAAGAGCTGTTCCAAGGGGGAATGGAGCCAAAGGGGGAAGGAGAAAGGGCTGCTCCTGCTGTAGGTCAAGGACACACAAGGCACTTCCCTCTGCAGCTCCTGCTGCACTTGGGGGTCACGTCCCAAAGCCCAGTGCACATAAACCAGGCTATAAACATTGCCCTCAGTGTGCTGAGGACACAGAGAGGTCCTCCAAAAATTCCCAATCATGATAAATGTCAAGCCTCCAAATGATGATGCAAATCCCCGCAGCTCTTGGGGCAGTTCCTGGGCAGGGATCATGGGCAAACATGAAACCCCGGGATGCGACCTGGGGGTTTGGGCTTTGCTCCAAGGCCAGTTTCCAACAGCAGGTGACAACCCTTTGAACTGTCATGTGAGGAATATTGCAGCAATAATAATATTCATGGTGGACTTTGGCCTTCACCTTTTTTTTACCAGTAAAACACCACCTTGTGAGCACTCAAACTGATGCTTTGAGAGCAAGATTTAATCTTTCTCCAACTGGCCACCTCCAATCCCCCTTCCATTTGGGTTTTGCCCGGAGAAAGCTGTACCAGCAGCACAAATGTGCCCAAAGCATCTGTCCCCTCCTCCCCTCTGCCTAAAAACTCAATGGCTCTCCCATAAAACCTTCCATTGCTTGAGGTTTTGTAGTGGCCACCAGTACCTGGGAGCAGAAAATACCCAAAAAAAGCCCCAGAACAAGCAAGCGATAACCTACCTTGTTCCCTTTTCCCTGCCTTTCCCGTGGTGAGGGATGTCACAAAGCTGAGGAGGTTGCAGAAGCTGAGCACTTGGTATAACCAGTTTTTTTTAATTACCAAACCAACTCGTTTACAAAGGAAAACAGAACTTTGAAAATATTTAATTATACAGTAAAAACAAATTGTACTATAAAGAGCTTTCTATGAAGTGAGTAAAATGTTTACATTTAATATACTTAAAACTGAGAACTTCAAAAAAAAAAAAAAAGAACTGAATAAACAACACATTTCAAACTTTCTGTGTATTTCTTTGGTCTTCCTATTGCTCAAGACTGCAGAGGAGCTGTGAGGGAAAACTGCTTTAAAACAGGGAGAGTCAATTCATGGCTTTGTGCACCTGGAAGTTTGAGGAAGCAGTTTCCCAAACTTCACACATCCTACAGTGTGACTGTCACCTGTGCAATGGGGGGGATGGATTCCAGCAGCAGCACCAGAGTGCTCCCAGCACAAGGGAATGCAGGGAGGGAATCCCATAAACCACAGAGGGGTTCTGAAGCTCCTTCCTTGTATCCAACTCTATGTCTCAAGTGGCTTTTTTAGGTTTGGGGGTGGTTTTTTGATTTTTTTTTGTTTTGTTCTGGTTTTTTTTATATCCAAGTATGCTTTTTTTATTGCTGCTTTCATGGTCTGGTTTTATGTCACCAAATGGTAACAATTCAGACCCTCAAGCCTTATCTGCCCTACAGAACAGATGTATCACCTAAGAAATACTCAGACATTTCTTGCTGTGTTGCTTCTTTAAAAAATAACAGTATAATAAAGTAGCCAAGGCCTAGAGTGTCTTACCCAGCCAGTCACCCCCAGCTGGTGTTATGGAACAGCTCCTGGCTCAGGCTAAGAGGGGAGACTGGGAATCAAGTGGGAGGGAGGAAGTTCTGGTTCCTGATCCAGAGGAGAGAGGAGTGTTTTTAATTGGTACTGGCTGAAATGGCTTTAAAGGTCATTAATAAGAGACGAGGCTGCCCAAGGGCTGCCCCTGGCTTTGCCCTCCTGGGAGGGGGTGGTGCTGGGGGGGGCAGGATCTGAGCCTTCCTTTGAGCAGTCACTTGCATAGCAGGAAACTGCTGGGATACCTGAGGAAAAAAAAGCAAGTAGATACTTCGGCTCGAGAGATTCCCGCCGTGCAAAACGCCACACACACATCACAGCTACACTCACACACAACAACTGCAGAGCAATGACAGCTTCATCCCTAAAGCAACAGGGCTTGGCTTGTAAAACAAGTGCACTCTGGATGAAGTGCAGACTTTCTGTTCCTTCTCCTGTGCAGTGATTTCCTTTACAACAGAGCTGGACTATTTAAAAATTCAAACCTTCCGGTCTTTTTAAATATATCTAACAATGACATAGTCATTAAAAAAAAAAATTTCACCAGTCAATTTGCCTTCAAAGCAAATGGAGTGTGGAAAATCAATACATGTACTCATTTTAGAAGAACAGTATTTATAGAAAGGGGGTGTGAAACCTAAACCTTTCAAGTAGGCTGAGTTGAACTTTAATATCTGTAGATGAGACTGAACTAGAGTGCTCATGTGCAGGTTTGTTTTCCTAATTTCTGTCCTATCAAAAATTGAATTTCTATAGCAAAAAATGGCTGCTTTGAAAGAACTTTAACCCTGTGAAGTATTTGAAATTTTAACCCTTCTGAAGACACCAGCTTTTACAGTCCCCAAAGGCAAGGAAGCTTTAAGTGTTACCATTTCCCTTTACCAACAGCGCCAAAATACACCTACAAGGCACTTTTAAGGTACAGGACCCCAAACCCTACCCCCACCTCCCCCTTCTTGACGGGCACCACTATGGGCTTAAATAACTTAACTCTTATGGTAACTTAAATAACCTTAAGTTCCATGGTCAAACTTGCACAGCGACATTCTGAGGGAGAAAGCGGGGACTCCAGAAGGGTGAACGACTCCTCTCCACGCGGCGGCGGCACCTTTGGGAAGCTCTGCCCCTCAGGGGTTGTAGCTTTGTAGGATGTTATCGAAGGGGAAGGACTGGTAGAGCTCGCCGTCGCCGCCGTCGTAGAACTGGGCGTCTGCCAGGCCGCCCTGGTGGGCGGTGGAGAGTCTCGGCTCGCCCAGAACCTCCGGGCCTATGAAGTCGTAAACGGGGTCGGCCAGGCCGGGCTGGGAAGCGAATCCCGCCGCGCCGGCCCCGGGCGGGCCCAGCTGCAGCTGCTGCCTGGGAGCGCCCGAGTTCAGCACCACGTTGAACTTGTCGAAGTTGATGCTGGTGCAGTTCATGTCGTCGGTGTCCATGCTGACGATGCCGGAGGCGGCGCCGCCGGGATGAGCCGCATGCACGGCGCTGCCGCCGGGAACGCTCGGCAGGTCGACGTTCGACGCCGCCGCGACTCCCAGCCCGTTGGTGCTGCTGTAATTCCGGTAAAAGCCCGAATCCTTCTCGTCGGGCCAGTTCACAGGGTCGTGGAAGGTCGGGAGGGAGCCGCTGCCGTGAGCCGGCTGAGGCGCATCCGCGGAGAAGCTGTTGGGTGGGTGTGTGCCCAGCAGGCCGCTGGCCGAGGAGCTGTGCAGCCAGCACGAGGACAGCCCGTCCTGCTTCCCTGGGCCCACCGGGGCCAGTTGGCTGCAGCCAGGGTACATCTGACCAGCGCTGGCCAGGGATCCCAACCCGGGAATCATCAGCGAGGATGAAAACAGGTTTGGTTCTAATGGAGAGAACGCCAGGTTTAAGGATTTTTTTTTTAAAATTACGAATGGTAACAAGCAAAGAAAACACACTGGAAGGAAACACTCTGTAAGACTGCATTTCCACTTTCACACTTGCTTAGCTGCTCTCCAGGGTGGGCCCCAGATTTCTGGACAGCAGCAGAGAGCTGTGCACCTCACCCCTCTATGGCCCACGCTGAGGGTGATGGCTACAGTTACGTAAAGAACTGATGGGTTTATGTTTGTATAGTCAAAAGTATCAGCATCTTACAGGAAGAAGCCCTCCAGAGATTAGAATTTCAAGCAAAGAGGAGGGCACTGTTTGTTTCAAAGCACTGTGAGACTGTAAGCAAAAACCTACCTTTTTTAATCATCTTCCCTTCAGGAGTGACAACGGGGAACGGAGTTACTTTGGGCCTCTCTGTTGTGTTTGATCCTGCGATGGAAGAAAGCGTGAGTCCACTCCAAATGTTTGCTCTCATACAAAACAGCTCCATCGAAATGTGAGTTCCCTCAACAAGAAAAAAAGGCAAATATTTTCCTTACCACAGTCCTGCATGAGCTTTTGCAAAGCCAACGTTGATCTTTGCCTTTTTGCCTTGTTGCCATATGGATCTACGGAGAAAGGAGTGGAAGGGGAAAGTGTTACCGTTCTCTTGGATACAGCGT